GGATGGGGTTCAGGATGGTGAGTAAGGGAGTAGGTTGGAGGGGGCTGGGGGAGAGGGATGGGGTACAGGTTGGTGAGTGAGGGAGTGGGTTGGAGGGGGCTGTGGGAGAGTGATGGGGTACAGGACGGTGATTGAGGGAGTGGGTTGGAGGGGGTGGGGTAGAGGTTTGGATTTCAGGACGGTGAGTAAGGTAGTGGGTTGGAGGGGGGTGGGGGAGAGGGATGGGGTACAGGACGGTGAGTGAGGGAATGGGTTGGAGGGAGGTGGGGGAGAGGGATGGGGTACAGGATGGTGAATGAGGGAGTGGATTGCAGGGGGGTGGGATTGTAGTCACTGAGGTGGCACTGCCATGTGGGCACGTGCACGACTCTCCAGGCTGTCTGGCCGGCAGTGGCAACATGTTACCCCTGAAGAGCGAGGCATCAAGGAAATGGGATGAGAAACCACTCACAGCCTGCTGGATGTTGAAGACTCCAGGTTGCCCTTGCTCCGCTTCTTCCCCCAGTACTGCCCCTCAACCCTCTGAGGGTGGTGGAGGAGGGGCTTTAATGGGGGTTGGTGTGAACTCGGGCAGTGACGCTGTCCAGGGAGTGTGGGACACTGTTCAGGCGTGTGCTCATCTGGACAAAACGGATCGGAGGCAGCGGTGGCTTGGTTTGCATCGGCAGGTTGGTTGTTGGCCGGTTCGGTCTGCCTGGGCGGCAGGTGGGTACTCGGGTCCCGTTCAATAGCCGAGGATCGGTGCGCAGTTCTTCGCTGTCGCCCATGGTGCCTGGTCTCTTCTCCCCAGCCTCACCACCCTCCCTGGTGGCCAGGGGCTCCAGCTCATAATGTTCATGCTCAGTGTCCAGGTGATTGCCCTCCCCACCAGCTGGCTGGTGTTTGTGGGTACGGCAGGCCCTCTTGCCCTCTCTCGGCCTGCGACCACCATGGGGAGGTGGGGGCAGTGTCAAACAGTGGCACTGCAACCTTTTGGGCAGAGGAATGGTGCCACAGGAGCCCTGTGGCCCCAGGCAGCGGCACATACACTGGAAGAAGAAGGTGGCAAAGCCCCAGCTGATGCACATGATGAGCATCATGAAGGTCCCGAGCTGCGTGTACGCCAGAACCGTGGAGGGCATCATCATGGCACCAGCCACAAAGGTGGTCAGGGCGGCCATGGCAATAGCTGAGCCCATACGGCTCAAGGAGAAGACCACCTTCCCCTCGCGGTCTGCCTCTGGCGCCAGGCGGTAGGCCACACCGTAATGGACGGCAAAGTCGACAGCTAAACCCACAGCCACGGAGATGGTGACAGACTCCAGCACATTCAGTTCCCAGCCCAGAAGCACCAATGAGCCCACTGTGACAAAGATGGTGCCTGTGATGGAGACAATGGCGTAGAGGCTAATCACCACATTGCGGGTGGTGAGTAACATGACGCTGAAGGCCACGGCCACCGACAGGCCCATGGCCACCAGGGTGCCATCGGACAGGCTGTCCTGAAGGTCAAAGAATTCCAGGCCGCTGACAAACCAGCCATTGCTGAGGCCAGCTGGAGCAGCTTTCAGCTCCTCCACAATCCAGGCATCCACCTCTTTGTAGAATCGGCTCATCTTCTCATAGGCCAGCGTGAAGAGGTAGGTGCTCTGAAACTGCAGCACCACAGCCCGGATGGTGTCGTTGATGTCAAAGCGGGGCCCCGGGGTCTTGCTGTCCAAGTGGTAGCCAGTACTGTGCTCCAGCTCCATGATGGCCCGCTTGATGCAGAGCTCAAACACCTCCTGCTTGTAGGGGAAGGTGGACTGGCTGCAGCACGGGTACAAGGTGGGCTCCTCACAGTCCTGGTTCTCCATCCACTGGCGGAAGGTCTCCACAAAGCAGCTGGTGAAGTCCTGCTCGTCGGTCTGGTGAAAGAAGCTCTGGTTCCTCAGGCGCTGGCAGAAGTGCAGAAGCCAGAGCTGTGAGCTGGGACTGGCCACATCGAACGTCGAGTCCAGCCGCAGCTGGCCTTTGTTGTGTGGGTTGAGGGGGTCGCCAGCATCCACGGGGGCAATGCCCCACACCAACGTGATGGGCATGTGTAGCTCCTCACCGTGGTGCACCCGTTCGAACACAAACAGCCGGCGGAATTCGGCATCGTAGCGCTCGAAGGGGTGCGATGAGCGGAAGACCTGGAACTCGGAGAGCTCGAGCGACGGCAACTTCATCTTGGGGTCCACGCAGACGATGTAGGCGCCGCCGACGGTCAGGGCAAGGAACCAGCAGAGCCAGATGTAGCGGAACTTGATGACGATGCAGGGCAGCACCTTCTCGAAGAATATGCGGGAGGTCTCGGAGGCAGCCAGCAGGAGGCGCTGCAGCCGGCAACAGAGCTGGGCCAGGTAGCCGTTGTGCTCAGCTCGCTGGCCAGGCCTCTCACCGCACTGGAAAAAGTGTAACAGGTAACGTTCATGCAGCACCACCACCGCTGGCAGCCAAGTCACCATCAGAATGTAATTGACCAGGATGGCAGTGCCAGCGTAGACACCAAAGCAGCGGATGGCAGTGATGTTGCTGACATAGTTGGCGTAGAAGGCAGCTGCGGTGGTGAAGCTGGTGACAAACATGGAGAGGGCCGCGTGACGCAGGGTGACACTCACGGTTTCCGCCAACTCAGCCTTGGGCTTGTCGAACTTGGTATGGTTCCAGACATCGCACAGCACAAAGGCATCATCAGCCCCTATCCCCACCAGGATAATCAGTGCTGTGAGGTTCATGAAGGGGAAAAACTTGAAGCCAAACACAATCCTGTAGAGGAAGTAGGAGACGATTAAGGAGCTGATGATGGCGAACATGGTCATCAAAGTGATGAACATGGACCTGGTGTACATGCACATTATCAACAGAACAACCACAATCGCAATGGCAGGATACACAGTATCCATCAGAAGGTAGTCCTGGAACAAGTTGTGCTTGATCCCAAACTCGATTCCTGCAATGGTGGTGACACCATCTGAACAGTTCCAGTTCTCAAAATTGTCCAAGTAAATGTCCATCATGCTTTTCCCTTTCTCAGTGGGGACGAACAGCATGCTGTACTTTAATGCTGGAATCACGTAGTCCAATGTCTGTGGGCTCAAAAAGTCTTTGTCCACCAAATAATGAAGGATTTGGTAAACAGCGTTGTACTTGGTGCACTTGCGCGGCACAGATGTGCACTTGAGCTGGTCTTTACGACGCGTGGTCTTGTCCCAGCATTCCGGCCCTAGGGTCCCGTTGTGGTAATATTTAACACAGGAGCGGAGGAGTTTCAGCGTGTGCGCCACGTCTCGCTCGGTGATTTTCTGGCAGGACGATCGATTGTTGAGGATGGCGATGTAGTTGCCCAGTGTCCAGCTGGGGCAGCAGGAGGCAGCTGAGGTCCTCTGACAAAGTTCCCCAAACTGCGAGTGTGAACGGATCTGCAGTAATATAGACCATATTAAAAAGAAATTCAAACCAGTTTTAGACACTGGGTTCTGTAAAATAATAGATTTTGTTTTAATGAATCATTTAATAAATTGAATAATTTAGCAGACTCTCAAGATTCATTTCAAGTCCTGGTGTGACTCAAAGAGGTGACTGAAGGGAATTAGGATTAGAATCTAGTTAGACTGACTCTTGCTGTCATTCTATATCTCTTGCCTTAAAACCCAATGCTCCATGACCTTTACCATGGCCTCAGCAACTGGAGCAGCAGCTTCAGACATCCTTTGAATACAACATCCCACCCCCAAGCAACCCATAGCACCAACCTCCTTCCATTCAATGGGCCATTATAAGCTTAAACAGGAGGGCCTCCACAAAATATTCCACAGCTGTCATGAAGACAGTTAAAGCAAATGTTAGAAATGGGTTCAACAGTGGGTTGAACAATGGGTTCAACCATGCCCAGATGGCACAGTGGCTCAGTGGTTAGCACTGCTGCCTCACAGTGCCAGGGAACCGAGTTTGATTCCATCCTCAGGCAACTGTCTGTGTGGAGTTTGCACGTTCTCCCCGTGTCTGCGTGGGTTTCCTCAGTTGCTCCAGTTTCACCCCACAGTCCAAGATGTGCAGGTTAGGTGGATTAGTCATCGTAAATGTAAGGGTTATGGGGATAGGGTAGGGGGCTGGGTCTGGGTGGGGTTCTCTTCAGAGGGCCAATGTGGACTCGATGGGCCAAATGACCTGCTTCCACACTGTAGAGATTCTATGAACAGGCATTTCCAAACAGGGAAAATAAGTCAGGGATATGATTCAAAAGTGGGCTGGTGAGGCTCAGATCAATTAAAAGGTCTACACTTAGAGTCAGACAGTACAGAAGAGGTCCTTTAGCCTGTATTGCCAAAAAAATACACAAACTCTCACTTTCCAGCATTAGGCCCTGGCCTTGAATGTGCTGATATTCCAAGTGCTCATCCACATATTTTTTAAAGGGCATGGAGGTTTCTCGCCTCAATTACACCCCCAGCCAGTGCATTCCAGAGCCCCACTACCCTCTGGATCAAAGAAATCTTTCCTCAAGTACCATCAAAATCCTCCCACTCTTCACCTTCAAATAAACCCTCCTGTTTATCCCATCCTTGATGCTCGGGGTTAGAGCAGGAGCTCAAGGAAGCAAGATGGAAACAGAAAATAAATACTTGTGATAAAAGTACATACCCTGGCATTGTCAAGATTGCACATTGATTTAATTGATTGCGTTCGCCACAAGTTTTCCCCATCTGCTGAAGCAAACACGACCCGAGAGTATCGGTCACCTACAGAGCAGGGTAAGAGGGTTAGGAACTGGCAAACACTTCAACATACATTTCTCAAAAATGCAAAATAGAGTCCTGCAGTTTCCTCCATGGCTTACACAACTGGCCTACTAACTCAGAGGCTGGGTGTGAGTAAACGGTAAGATAATGTGATAATTACATGGAACAGAAATCTACAGTCCTGGAGTATTAATTACAGAGAACATGAAATTAAATTCCTCTGTACCAACTTGAGAACTTGAAGTAAGGTTTAAAAATGAGGAAATAAAAACCCCATATCATTAAAGGAATCAAGGAACTACTGCATTGTAATAAAACTCAATTGGCTCACCAATATCCTTTAGGGAAGAAAAGCTACCTTCCTTGTTCCATCTGACCAATACTTTTCCGTTGCACATCAATGTGAATTATACCATGGAGTCATAGAGATATACAGCACTGAAACAGTCCCTTCGGTCCAACTCATCCATGCTAACCAGATATTCTATATAAATCTACTCCCATTTGGCAGCATTTGGCCCATATCCCTCTAAACCCTTCCTATTCATATACACATCCAGATGCCTTTTATATGTTGTAATTGTACCAGCCTTCACCACTTCCTCTGGCAGCTCATTCCACACAGGCACCACCCTCTGTGTGAAAACATTACCCCCTAGGTCCCTTTTAATTCTTTCCCCTCTCACCTTAAACCTATGCCCTCTAGTTTTGGACTCCCCCACCCTCGGGAAAAGCCCTTGACTGTTCACCATATCCATGCCCCTCATGATTTTATAAACCTCTATAAGGTCACCTCTCAGCCTCCAATACCCTAGGGAACATAGCCCCAGTCTATTCAGCCTCTTCCTTTGGCTCAAACCCTTCAACCCTGGCAACATCCTTGTAAATCTTTTCTGAACCCTTTCAAGTTTAACAACATCATTCCGAAAGCAGGGAGACCAGAACCAATCTATATATTTATAACCAAACGTGTTCAGAAATATCACGATGCATGTTTGGGAGATGGGATTAGAATGCAGAAGCAGGGACACTCCCACTGCACCAGGCCAGTCCTCAGGTCATTGACAAATGCAACGTAAGCAGACATTTCATTGTTCTGTTTATTTGTGGGATCCAGTTTCTCCCCCAGCTAAAAACAGCACTGGCATCCACCGTAACTTTACTTTTATTTATCCTTACTTTTCTGATCAATTCCTCTCATAAGAAAGTACAACATTCCATTAAGCTTCTTAATTGTTAGTCCGTTGCTCCATCAGTACCACTCGTCTGCTCAGTACCATCTACCTTCACATTGGCAATTTTTCGAATGTTCCAACAAGTTCAAGATGAAATGCTTTGACAAAATGTGCCTTTTTTCAGCAATACTAAAGTCCTGTATTACCAAATGACAGTTTGTTAGTCATACAGTCACAATCATAGAGCCATACAGCATGGAAACAGACCCTTCGGTCCAACTAGTCCGTGCCGACCATGTTCCCAAACTAAACTAGTCCTGCGTGCCTGCATTTGGCCCATGTCCCTCCAAACTTGTCCTAATCATGTACTTATCAAAATGTTTTTTAAATGTTGTGACTGTACCTGCATCCATCATTTCCTCTGGCAGTTCAGTCCACATAAGAACCACAATCTGTGCAAAAAAGTTGCCCCTTGTGGCCTTTTTAAATTCTTTCCTCTCACCTTAAAAATATGCCCCCTAGTTTTGAACTCCCCCAACCTTAGGAAAAAAACCTTTGCTATGCACATTAACTATGCCCATCATAATTTTATAAACCTCTAAAAGGTCACCCCTACACCTCCTATGTTCCAGTGAAAAATGTCCCAGCCTATACTCAAACCTTATAATTCAAACCCTCCACTCCTGGCAACATCCTGATAAATCTTTTCTGAAACCTCTCCAATTTAATAATATCCTTCCTATAACAGGGCGCCCAGAACTATATACAGTACTCCTGATGAGGCCTCACCAATGTCCTGTACAACCTCAACATGACTGCCCAATGCCTACACTCAAAGGTCTAAGCAATAATGGCAAGCGTACTAAACACTTTCTGAACCTCCCTGTCTACCTGTGATGCAAAGTTCAAAGAGTTGTGTACCTGAACCTCCAGGTCTCTCTGTTCTACAACACTACTCAGGGCCCTACCATTAACTGTATAAGTCCTAGCCGTGTTTGTATTATCAAATTGCAGTACCTCACATTTATCCAAATTCAACTCCATCTGCCACTCCTCAGCCCAGTGACTCAATTGATCAACATCTCTTTGTAATCTTAGACAACCTTCATCACTGTCCACTGTACCATCAATTTTGGTGTCTTCCTCAAACTTACTAAGCATGTCTCCTATATTCTCATTTAATCGTTTATATAAACAACAAACAAAAGAGGACCCAGTACCAATCCCTGTCGAACACTGCTGGTCACAGGCCTCCAGTCTGAAAAATAACCCTCCACCACCACCCTCTGTCTCCTACCATCAAGTCAATTTTGTATCCAAAAGGCAATCTCCCTCAATCCCATAAGATTGAACTTTACTAAATTAGTCTACCATTGGAACCTTATTAAAGGCTTTACTAAAGTCCAAGTAAACAATGTCTATTGTTCTGACCTCATCAATCTTCTTGGCTACTTCCTCAAAAAACTCAATCAAGTTTGTGAGCTATGACTTCCCTTAGATAAAACCATGCTGACTATCCCTAATCAGTTCTTGCCTCTCCAAATGCATGTAAATCCCATCTTTCAGAATCACCTCCGACAACTTACCCAACACTGACGTCAGACTCACAGTTCAATTGTTCCCAGGCTTCTCCTTACAGCCTTTCTTAAACAATGGCCCAACATTAACCATCCTTCAGTCTGTTGGCACCTTGCCCGAGGTTATAAATCATTGAAATATTTCTGCAAGGGGCCCTGCAATTTCTTCCCTAACTTCCCACAATGTCCTGGGATACACTTGGTCAGGTCCCAAAGTTTTATCCACTTTTATGTTTTCTAAGACCTCCAGCACTTCCTCTTCTGTAATGTGAACTGTTTTCAAAACATCAATATTTATTTCCCTGAGTTCCCGAGCCTCTATTTCTTTCTTCACAGTAAAAACTCATGCGAAATATTCAATTAATATCTCTCTCATCTCCTGAGGCTCAACACAAAGATGACCTCTTTGAGCTTTAAAGGACCCTACTCTCACTCTCTCTCCCGAGTTGCTCTTTTGTTCTTAATGTACTTATAGAAATTCTTTGGATTATACTTAATCTTATCTGCCAAGGCTATCTCATATCCCCTCTATGCCTTCCTGATTTTCCTCTTAAGAATGCCCCTACACTTTTCATACTCTTCAAGAGATTCATTTGATCCCCTTTGTCTATACCTAATAAATGATTCTTTTTTATTCTTGACTAAAACCTCAATATCTTTTTTCATCCATTGTTCCCTGGTCTTACCAGCCTTATCTTTCACTCCAACAGGAACTCAATGCCTCTGACCTCTTGTAATTACATTTTTGAACGCCTCTCATTCATCAGTCGTCCCTTTTACACGTAAACAGGCTACTCCAATCAACTTTTGAAAGTTCTTGTCTCATATCATTAAAATTTGCCTTACTCCAATTAAGAACTTTAATTTTATGGACGGTTTATCCTTTTCCATAATTATTTTAAATCTAATAGAATCATGATCACTAGTCCCAAAGAGTCCCTCTACTAACACTTCAGTCACTTGCCCTGCCTTATTTACTAAGTTTTGCTCCTTCTCTAATGGGAACATTTACATATCGAACACTATTATAATTTTACTTTCCTGCATATATTTTCATTATCTACTCCTTTTGTTTTTTGTTTTAATCTCTGACAGTCACTATGACAGTGTCATTCTCCATTTTCTGCTGTTTTTATTTCGGTACTTGATCAGCTAGCTGTACTCCAGGCCAGAGGAGCTGGGGATAAACAAATAAATTCAGCAAAAGAAAAGGAATTTTCCCTAACTCTTAGCCTCCACTTGGCTTTAGGATGTGCCTATTTAGACAGACCTCATCAGCTGAACAGCAGGATTAGAAGAGATGAGCCAAGTTAGACATAGCTTCCACTTTAGGTGCTCAACAACACATCCAGGCCGCAGATCCCCATAAGGCACTGCACTATGCTACTGGAGATCAGTATTTCAACAAAGGCCAAGTGACTCTATCAAGAATATGGCACTTACTGGGAACATCACAGAAGAAGCTGTCCTTGTGGAAATTCCACTCTGCCTGCCGCTTGTCTCTGTCATAGGGATCATCTGACCATCGGTCGTCTCGATGACTTGGTGAAAACAGAAAGCAACAATAAAATGTAGAAACTTTGCTATAAATAAATGAGACGGGCTTAATTTGCTTATCTGTACCTCTTTCACTTTAAAACTGCAAGAATGCAAGCCTGTTGGGAGGAGATCAGAAACCACAAATACTTAGATCATGGTAGCCATTATATTGGTTGTTTCAATTAAAAAAAAACACACGCGTATACACACAAAAATTACTGCTGGTGGTACTGACAGATGATTGCAGATTCATTCATAGAATGCTCACCATGTAAAAGGAGGCCATTTGGCACTGGCTCTCCCTGTACCTTACCACTGTAACTCTGCACATCATTTCTATTTAAATAATCCTCCAATGTTTTTTTGAGTGTCACAGTGAACCTGCCTTCACCACACTTCCACGCAGAGCATTCCATTCTCTAATTACTCACACTGTGAAAACAGTTTTTCTCACCTTGAATTTGCAACTATTGTAAAACACATTGAAACTGTGCCCTCTGGTTCTCAATCCATTTTGAAAAGGTAACAATTTAAAATTCTCATCTGCTGTGCCCAGGCCCCTCATGATTTTGAAAACTTCTACAAAATCCCCTCTTAGTCTTCTCCTCTCCAAGAAAAAACTTCTCCAATCTATCCTCACAACTGAAGAATTTCATTCCCGAACCATTCTTGCATATTTTTTCTGTACTCTCTCCAGTTCATTCACATCCTTCTTATAGTGTGGTGCCTAGAACTGTACACAATACACCAGCTGAGATCTAATCAGTGTTTTTAAGCTCATCATAATCTCGCTGCTCTCACACTCTATGCCCATATTAATAAAGCTTAGAATAATGTTTATTAACAGCTCTCTCTGTCTTGTCACATTTAATGATTTATACACTTAATTTACATGCACCAGGTCTCTATGCTCTTGCAAAACCTTTAGAACAGTTTTACATTGTCTCTCCGTGGTCTTCTCACCAAAGTGCATCACTCTACACTTCCCTGCATTGAACCTCATCTGCCACCTATCCACCCTCTCCACTAACTTGTCAATGTCCTTTTGGAGTTCCATACTGTCCTCCTCACAGTGTACAATTCTTCCAAGTTTTGTGTCATATAAAAACTTTGAAATTGTCCTCTGAACACACAATCTAGACCATTAATACATTAGGAAAAGCAAATATCAACCCCTGGGGAGCTCCACAAATCTTCTTCCAGCCTGAAAAATACCAACTGACAATTACTTTGTCCCCTATCCCTCTGCCAATTTCATATCGATGTTGCTGTGTCACTTTTATTCCGCAAGTTAGAACTTTCCTTACGGGTCTGTTGGGTGGCACTGTATCAAGCACTTTCTGGAAGTCCACATACACCATTCCAATAGCATTGCTCTCACCAACCCACTCTGTTATCTCTTCAAAGGATGGCAGCAAGTCACTTAGATTCTCTCTTCACAAAGCCATGCTGACCATTCTAACCTAATCCGCATTTTTCCACTAATTCTATTCCAAATAATGGTTTCTAGAAATTTCCCCACCACTGACGTTAAACAGTCTGGTCTGCAATTGCTGGGCTGATGTTTACAACCTTTTTGAATAAGGGTATACTGTTCACAATTCTCCAGTCACCTGGCACCACACTCAAATCCAGGGAAGATTGAAAGAAAATGGGCAGTGCCTCTTCAATATCCATTCTCACTTCCTTCAACATCCTTGGATGCACCTTGACTGACCCTGATGTCTTATCAAATTTAAATACCAACACTTTATCCAATACGGCTCCTCCTTACCAATTTTAAATCATTTTAGTGATTGACCTTCCTCCTCAATTACCATGGCTTAGGCAGCGTTTGTCTTGTAGGTAAAGACAGATGATGAGTATTTATTTAACACCTCAAGCATGCCTCTTGCCTCTGAATGTAAATCCCCTTTGGTCTCTAATTGACCCATTCCTATAATGATGTACATACAGGAGACTTTGGGATTTCATTTTATGTTAGTTGCCAGTCTTTTTTCAAGATATCTGTTTGCTTTTCACCTTTGCTTTTTCACTTCCGTTCTGAACATTCTGTATGTAGTTTGGTTCTTAACACCTTTCCTTCTTTAACTTCATTTCTATCTCCTTTATCATCCAGGGTGCTCTGGATTTGTATGTTCTATCTTTATCTTTTGTGGGAATATCTCTTTATTTTGCAAAAGCATTTGTTCTTGATCAGTTGACAGCCACTGGTGGTGGAAGCCCTGATATAAGCTGCTGTCCCCTCAAGTAGTCTTTGCTAATATCTCGAATCACAATTTTTAGCTTAGCGCATTATACCCATGTAGAGTGACTATTAACTATAGATAGTCAGAGCGTTAAGGGTTCAGAGGGACAAAGTTCCTCAAGGGTGCTCAAGAAAATTTTCTACAGTAGTATATTTCCAGTCCAGAGAGAAAAGAGGCACTGTTTAGATATGGGTTTTGGGAACAAGCTGGTCCAAGTGAATCATGTATTAGTAGTTAATTTTTCGGGGAAAGTGATCATTGTACCATAAGGTTTAGGCTCGCAATCATAAAGAACATGGAGTAAGAATAATTAACTCAGGATAATTTAACTTCAATGGGGTGAGAATGGATCTGACCCAGATAAATTGCAATCAAAGATTGATTGAATGAGCAATAGGCTACTTTTAAAGAGATAGTTTGGGCAAATTCAAGGTGTATTCCTATAAAGGGAAAAGGTGGAGCACGCCATCCAGAGTTCCCTGGATAAGAAAAGTTAGGTTTGAGATACCTGGTCAGCATGGATGAATTGGACCGAAGGGTCTGTTTCCATATGACTCTATGACAAAGTGTGCTCATGACAGATGTCAGAAGCTAATTCAAATAAAAGCCAGGTTGAATATAGAAGGTTCAGAGAGGAACTGTAAAAATCTTCACCCAATCGATGATCAGGAAAGTGAGGGCATGAGAAGAGAGTGGAGCTGATAAGCAACCAAAGAGGTAATTTATTCATGAAGGGGGAAGGGATGGCTGAGGTATTAAATAGATATTTTGCATCTTCCTCTCCCAAGGAAGATGCTGCACCAATCAAAGTGAAACAGAAGGTAGTTCAGACACTTGAAAGGTTTAAAATTACTAAGGAAGATGTATTGGATAAGTTGTCTGTCCTTAAACTTGCTAAAGTACCAGACTGGATGAGATACATCTAGGCAACTGAGGGAAATGAAAGTGGAAGTTGCACAGGCACTGCTCATAATTTACTGCCTTCTTTAGTTTCCAGGATAGTGTGTGAAGAATTACAAATGTTATCCCCTTGTGGGGTGATTTATATATAATTTCTTTTAGAGTTTGAAATTTGAACTTGTGGCATATGAGTACTCTTCTCCATTTGTGAAGGAGTTTAAAAATTAACTGGGTCAGTCTTTCCAGAACCATAATTTTAAACCACTTCTGGAGTGCCTCCAAGAGTGTTAATGGAAGTTTCTTCATACTGTGAATGGCTTCAGAGAGAAAATATCAAGCCACTGGTGTAGCAGAATCTAGGAATGAGCAAGTCTGTTTTAAGTTTAGTTCAAAAGTTTTGGGCGGTTGAAAGGAGACCTGAAGTCAGACACAAGAAAGCCTCTCCTATAAAAAGAAGATTGCTCATATCAGTTAAGGAAATAAGTTATCTCAGTGTAACAGTTGTAGTTTCTAAGAACTTCCAGGCCAGCAGTGTTTGGTCAGAAAGTCCAAGATCTCAGACAAAAAGGGTTCACAGCGCACAGGACTAGAACTGAAAAGAAGCAGTTATGAAAAACCTATAGATTTGATAGAGAAGGAATTTCTCTGGACTTTTGAATAACTGTAATATGATGGCATTGGGGAGTAGATGACATTTTGTTTTGCTGTGTGTTCTGAAATCTTTCAAATTGTGTTATATGTGAAGAATTTAGTTTGCTTTATTTTATTTCTAATTTTAAGTAATAAACTCCTGTCTTATTGTTAAAACCAAATGTACAGTGTGTGCTTATGCTAAAACCATCAAGTTCATTTAAAGGAAAACAGAACATGATTGATGAGAGATAGTAGGAACTGCCAATGCTAGAGAATCTGAGATAACAAGGTGTAGAGCTGGATGAACACAGCAGGCCAAGCAGCATCAGAGGAGCAGGAAATCTGACGTTTTGGGTCGAGAC